TCACTCATTTTGAACTGTATGTTCCCATTGGGACGGTATACCAGGTTTCATGAAGTAATCACTAATATATTCCCGGATTCCTGTTGCTGTTCTTACATTATGATTCACATTTTCAACTTGATGATGAAGTTGAATGTTTTGAACTGCATGCATATTTCGAATCGTGTACATTTTACCTTCTCTTGTGCGTATAAAGTTGTGTAAAACGCATGCACATTTTATTATTGATATAACTGTTTGCTCTGAACAATGGATTGGCGTTTCAAATACACGGAACTTTGATGTGAGCATACCAAAAGCACACTCCACTGACTTACGAGCAATGCTCAACCTATAATTGAAAATTCGTTTCTTGTTTGTTAAGGTTGATTTTGGGTATGGTCGCATGATGTAGGATTTGAGAGGAAATACCCCATCAGCACAAAAGAAATAAGGAATGGCAATTTCATCTTCATCATTGGGCAAAGGCTTTAGTGTTGGTAAATCCAGACCGCCAGACTGTAGCCACCTACCTAGGCGAGAAGAATGAAACACTCCCCCATCGCTATTTCTGCCAAGATCACCTACATCAATAGTTATGAAACAGCCATCTGCATCAGCACACGCTAAGAGCTGAACTGAAAAATATCCTTTGTAATTGAAATTGCGTGAACCAGTATTGGCAAACTTCTTTACTCTGATATGTTTACCATCTATTGAACCGATATAATTAGGTATTTTCCATAGTTCCTGATAGCGCTCTGCTACATCCTTCCACATCTCGTTGTCGGGAACAGGTAAAAATTGTGGTTGAAGACAGTTCCATATAGCTTCAGTTGTCTCTGCGATGACTTTACCAATGGTTTTATCACCCCTTTTGAAGTAGTGAGCCAAAGTCCTGAAACTGCAGCCTGTCGCTAGGTATCTGAAAGTCAAAAAATGAATTAAATGTGTAGATCTTAGAGAACGGGCATGAATTTGCGTGTATTACATATTGATTCAGCGGAAAAAATGTAATTTTGTGGTATTTTTCCTGTTCCAGAAATTAAATACAGTTAATTTGTTTTTATTGCAGTGAAGGAGTGCAAGGAGACATGGCGAAACCTAAGAACAGTTTTTATTCGATCTTTGAAGAAACCCCCTTCGGGATCAGGCAAACAAAAGAAGAAATAATACTTAGTGGACACCATGCAGTTTTTACTTCCCTACATTAGCACAAAAAATGATGGATCGCTTCCAGGGAACCTGCCATCACCCCCTACCACCAGCAATGAGCAGTGTGAGACCAACGAAATACAGGACGATATTGTCACTGTCAATGTAATGGACACAGTTGTAGACCAGACAGATTCAAGAACGACTTATGAAGGAAATGAAGCCTCCGGGTCAGCAATTAGTCAGCAAGCAAACTATGCCCAAAGTAAACTAAGCAGTGCTAACAGTTCAATGGAACGGCCAAAAAAGAGAAATAAGAATGCAGATGTTGATGAGTGCGTAATAAATTACATACACTCAAAAACGAGAGTCGAGAGAAAGTAACCCTAGAAGGTTGTTTTTATTGAGTCTACTGCCAGATGTAGAAGAAATGGATAGTAACCAATTCAGATCATTCAGACAACAAGTGATTAATTTGATAGATAATACTTTGGCATCTAGCAGACCCTACTCCCGAGCAGAGCAAGCTCAAATGCCTTACTCATGGTCTTCTTCAGGAAGTTATGTTCCACAACAAGGAGTGCCAAACCAAGAAAATGTACTCTCTCCCACAGAATATCCAAATGAGCAACCCAAATTTTCTGAACTTCTTCAGAGACTTTAAAATAGATAACTACAGTATAAATAAGACTACATAATAGCATCACAAAATCCTGAAAATGTTTCAAATGCTATAGCGAAAAAGGTCTGTATAGAACTGTGTTTTTTTATATTTCTGTCTACATTGTAATAATTCGCGGAGCGTTTCCTGATTTTTTTTTGGCAACACTAGATCCCATATTCTTTACATGATATCCATGTATTTGTTTATGGTCTAATTACTTATGAAACATTAATTTGCCGATTTCTTAAACCTTTTCAGGTTTACAAAGATAAGTTTCTGCAAGTTATTTTTTTATTTCCATTACACAGTAGCTCTTCACTTAAGAGACCACTCCTCGCATTACAAGGGAGACCCTATATGTATATAATGCATGCATTTAACCTAACGATTTTTGGTAGGAATGAACCAAATTGGAAGTAGGATTCTATTTTCATTTGAAACTCATGAAATAAATTCACAAATCTAATTGAATTTCTCTTACCTCAAAGTTTTTCATCCTCTCTCAATGCCATCCTGCAGTTTGTATCCTTCTTTTGTATCTGAGGGCCGACTAGTTCTACATCTTGGAACGCAGGTTTACTCATCCTGTAGAAATTTTGAAATTTTTCTTCATCTATATCTAATTCTTTCGCAATTTTGTAGCAACTTTGCGTTCTATCTGCTAAAAGAGGATGTATCCAATACTTTCTCCTCTTCCTCTTGCTTTTCAGCCACCACAATAGAACACAAACATCCTCGTCGTCTGACATTTTGAATGCAACTGCTAAATTATGGTTGCTTCAGTGTGCGGCAAAGCATGCAATTTTTCACATGCAACTGGTTTCAAGCAACCAGTTGCGCCAGTGTGTGGGATGCCTTAGTGGGTCGCGTGGCATGGTTGGTTTAGTACTGGCCCTCTGTTTTCATGCCTGGAGTGACCTAGCTTCGAGGTTCGAGGGAGGATTATATTTTTCCATCTTTCATATATACCTCAGTATATCTGACTTCGGTTTTCAAGTAGATAGGTAATGTCTATGTTCTAGTTGCACACTTGTTATATCTATATCAATGCGGTATTGCATTATTCTATTTTACACACCGACATATACATATGTGTGTATGTATGTATGTATATATATATATATATATATATATATATATATATATATATATATATATATATATATGTATGTATGTATGTATGTATGTATGTATATATGTATGTCCAAACCCATATATATATATATATATATATATATATATATATATATATATATATATATATATATATATATATATATTACGTAGGGTAATGGTTCCAACTGCTTTTTGCCATTATTTCCGACATTGTTACTTCTCATTCACTCCTCGTCTTTAGCTACGCTGCATCTGCCACAACCAGCCACGTATTCTCCTACCGTATTTGACATACCTGACCAGTACCCTCGACTTATAACTAAGCTAAGGGTTCTAAGGGTTCCTTTGATGGCCAAAATTATCATGACAGGCGTGCAACAACTGCCCTTGTAACATTGGAGGCAATACTGGGATCATTTTCCACAAATTTATTCCCACGTTTTTTTTTATGCCAAACAATTCCATCTTGTACAAGTAATTTCTCTCTTACTCTATACAATTTCCGAAAATCTTCCTTTTTCAACCAGTCCTCCATCTCCCCTTTCGACATTTGACTCTCCAGTATCTGACAAATCCCCTTGAAACACTTCATCTCATCCTGCGCATCCTTTATCCCCCCTGCGACCAAAACTGTCTGCCGTGTATTCTTCATCCGTATCACTCTCCACCTCCTGTGTCAACCTACTTAGCTCATCAGCTACCGTGTTATCCCTGCCAGGCTTTTACTTTATCGTGACATTAAACTGTTACAAATTATTTACCCACTGACTTTCGACCGCTCCAAGCTTAGAGGTCTCCAGATGACTCAATGGACTGTTATCTGTGTAAATAATAAATTCCCTTCCCGCTCAATAGTCTTTGAATTTATCGCAAACTGCCCACTTTAATGCTAATAATTCTAACTCTCTTGAGCTATAATTTGACATGTTTCTTTCAGAATTTCTTAGACCTCTACTGGCATAACATACCGGATGAATCTTCCCCTCGTGCTTGTGATAGCACGGCTCCTAATCCCTTAAAACTCGCATCAGTTTCTAAGATGAATTCTTTCGTGAAATCAGGACATTTTAAAACAGGAGCTGTAATTAACATTGCCTTTAAATCTTTTCTCATCCCATTCCCCGACAATGGATCTCCGTGAATCTCCTGACATAAGAGCATGTAGTGGTGCTGGCTTTTGTGCAAAGTGTTTCACAAATTTTCTGTAAAATGAACAGAATCCAATGAATGCTCTCACATCTCTAACATTTTTTCGGCAGAGGCCACGACTTGTACAACTGCTTCTACTTTCGCTGGATCTGTAGTCATGCCCTCTTCCGAAACCTGACATCCTAAATATGTGACTTGATGCAAAGAGCGTACATTTTTTTAGGTTTAACTTTAAGGCCATATGTCCGCATTCTTTCAAGCAAATCCCTTAACACTTTCGCTGCGTTAACCTAAAGAGCCCGCCGGTGTGTCTGTGCGGCATCAGAATTAAATAATATAATATTTTTGCATTTACACTAACTGCGGATAACACTATTTTTCCTATAAAGATTAGCATAAGAAAGTTCATGTGGAAGAAAAAAAGTGCAATTTTATCAGCATTTAATCGGTAAAAAATATTTATAAGGATAAATATATGTTGCCAAATGTAAGATAATTCCATTTTCTGTTATTGTGGGTCCCGTTTTCTGTTATTGTGCATTCTACCTTACTTATTGGAAGCAATGTATATATGTATGTATATATATGTACTTATTTATATGTATATATGTATTTACATACGCGCGCGCGCGCACACACACACACACACACACACACACACACACACACACACACACACACACACACACACACACACACACACAGTGCAGCTTGTTAGCACAGTAGCGTCTTTACCTTGCAACCTTGCAGACCTGCTTTCATTTCCCGCAACGCTAGTGGATGGTAACCCCGATGATTCCTTGCAGATAGGGGGTACTTTAGAAGCACAATAAACAGATAAGCAACAGATTGAAGTCACAAGAACAAATTATTATAATTATTATTATCATACACACACAAATATGTATAAATGTACATAACACACACACACACACACATTTATATATATAAATATATATATATATATATATATATATATATATATATATATATATATATATATATATATATATATATACATATGTGTGTGTGTGTATAAACATAAACACACACATTTTCGCTAATGCAAATACTTACATACTTCATATGTATATATATATATATATATATATATATATATATATATATATATATATTATATATATACATATATATACATGTATATATATATATATATATATATATATATGTATATATATATATATATATATATATATATATATATATATATATATATACATACATACATATATACATATATACAAATATACAAATACATACATATACATATATATATATATATATATATATATATATATATATATATATATATATATATATATATATGTATGTATATATATATATATATATATATATATATATATATATATATATATATATATGTGTGTGTGTGTGTGTATATGCACATATGCATACACACACACACACACACACACACACACACACACACACACACACATATATATATATATATATATATATATATATATATATATATATATATATATACATAAACACACACACACACAATTTTAACTAATGCAAACAAAAGCAGACACACGTGTAAATATATAGTCACATACATACACACTCACGATCAGGCAGTGGCGTTCAGTAAGTCGCAAGAGTTTTGTTACTGGACAAAATTAATGAGGTGTTCGCACTTGTTGCTCTCGATATCTGACAAGCATCTGATGCAACATGGTGTGATTAAATTCAAGAAAGGAGGGCCTATTACCTGTTTTGACTAAATACATGTAATATGAGTTTAGTCTTGCCATGTCCACAATGTGAAAAAAGAGTATTTTATACCATTTGATTGATTTTCTGAGGCTGTCTACACAACTCAAAAGCATATCAGCTTTGTCAATGATACGCATTTTTCGGGTATAGTCAACCACAGCTTCTGGCTTCCTTATTGGCTCACCGGTAGAGTAATCTCTTTTCTCAGTTTGAATAATCTCGTTTTTGTGAATTGATGTTAACATATGGACCATTCGTTTGGCAGACCACTTGAAGCACATCATGTTGTTCTTGTGGCAAGCACTAACTTCCCCCCGGTTGACTGCAGGGAACGAAGGCACCCCTTTTCTGTTTGGTCGAACTGTGCCACAAGCTCCTGTACTGTTTTGCTGCAGGTGTTCAAACAGAATTGGACTGGCGTAATAACTATCTGTGAAAAGATTATGTCCTTTCCCCAGGTATGGTTCTATCAAAGCGTTGACTATCGAACCAGCAAAACCAAATTTTGAGTCAACCTGAACCTCAGTTTGTGCTCCAGTGTATAATATAAAATCCAAGATGATACCTGTCTCAACATCACAAATTAAAAATAATTTTAGGCCGAATCTGTGGCGCTTATTAGGCATATACTGACGGAACACAAGTCTACCTCTCCACAGCACCAGACTTTCATCAATGCACAAATCTTGGAAGGGCTTAAATTTCGTTGAAAACTTGTGCCTGATGTCAATCATTACCCTTCCTATCTTTGATAATCTGTGATTCGCATCATTTTGATTGTCACTGAAATGAAGATGACGCAGAATTAGTAAAAATCTATCCCTACTCATTATTGTTCCAAATATTGGTGTTGATATGAGAAAGTCTGTAGACCAATAGTCATTTATCCTATGTTTTTTTACATGAGCCATGGCCATGCACAAACAGAGGAATATTCGCATTTCATTTATATCTATTGGTTTCCCCTGATGCATTCGGGAACTTGGTGGGTAGACATCCTTGTTCATCAGATATTCATGATATGCATTTGACTGTTGCACAATGTCGTCGATGAGAGCATTATCAAAAAAACCCGAGGAAAAAGTCGAGCTCCTCGGAGTCCTCAGTGACGGAGCAAGTGTTGCTGATCCCTGCATCTTCTTCGAAGGGGAAGAGAACAGGACGGAACTCAGAAAACCTCCATTCATCTGGCTGCTCCAGGACGGGCTCACCTCCATCATCTTGATGTGACGCACCTGTTTCAGGATGTGGTTCTTCGTCACTTTTTATAAATAAGATCACAGTTACTTATGAAAGATCTGGCAGGAAATGTATTTTCAAGTATATTTATTTGAAAGGCAACACGCAATGTGTGTTGATGCCTGAGAACAAGAGAATGTTATGTAGAAAGTAGAGAACATTTGTAAATATAAGCATTATAATATTTGCATATGTGTGTAAGAGCGTTTGTGTGTGTTTTTGTGTTAAAACGGCTGTGTGTGTATTTTAACGTTAAGTGCAAAATTACGTGTATTTGTGCGTTAGAACATTTATGTGTGAGTTAGAGATTGTGCTATCAGGGAGTATTTGCATGTATATATTTGTTTGTATGTGTATGAGAGTGGTTGTGTTTCTCAGAGATTTTCAATAACCAAACGTGTAAATTTAAGTGTAATCTATGTGCTTGCGTGATATGGGTTACTCCCGCGATACTTCTATGTACCTATGTTCCCAAATACGATGCGATTCCTTTGTTCCTCGTGCCGATGATCCCCAGAATGTATTAGGTACCGGTGCATCCCGGTATCTATAAGGTACCAAAGTTTCCTGGCACCTATATTCCCCGATTCGTATGTTAGCCAGGGGCAAATACTCACTGGTCCCTATGTGCGCTAGATAAGGAAATAAGAACTGGATACCACTTGATGCGAATGTATGAGAATTTCAACATTTTTGATGCAGGTGAATATCGTTCATATGTAGAAAACTTCGGCGTAATTTTATATAATTTGTATATAAATGTCTGTGATAGGACATGTGTGGATTTGTGCACACAAGTCCGTGTGTATTATGAACAGTAAGTTTAGGGCATCTGTATAATTATTCTCCCCCCCCCCTCCCTTCTCTCCTCTCTGCCTTTCTCTCTTTCTCTCTCTCTCTCTCTCTTTCTTTATCCCCCTTTCTGTCTCTCTCTTTCTCTTTCTCTCTCTCTCTCTCTCTCTCTCTCTGCCTTTCTCTCTTTCTCTCTCTCTCTCTTCTTCTATCTCTCTTTCTTTATCCCCCTTTCTGTCTCTCTCTTCTCTCTCTCTCTCTCTCTCTCTCTCTCTCTCTCTCTCTCTCCTCTCTTTCTCTCTCTCTCTGCTCTCCCCTTCTATCTCTCTTTCTTTATCCCCTTTCTGTCTCTCTCTATTTCTCTCTCTCTCTCTCTCTCCCTCTCCCTCTCTCTCTCCCTCCCTCTCTCTCTCTCACTCTCTCACTCTCTCCCCTTCTATCTCTCTTTCTTTGTCCCCCTTTCTGTCTGTCTGTCTCTCTCTCTCTCTCCTTCCTCTCTCTCTCTCCGCTCTTTCTCTCTCTCTCTCTTTCTTTCCCTCTCTCCCTTTCTTTCTCTCTCTCTCTTTCCTCTCTCTCTCTCTCTCTCTCATCTCTTTCTTTCCTCTCTCTCTCTCTCTCTCTCTGTAGGGCGAGGCTGTCCTGTTCCGGCACATAAGTATAAATATAGTTCGTACTAACAGCAGGTTAATCATGTGGTAGCGGATTTAGCTTTCAGGCCAAAGCTATATGTATTTAACCTGACTGCAGGAAAAGCCTGAATGCTGTGTTGCAATGTCAATGTACCCTCGTTAAGCGAGAATACGAAAAGTTACAAATAAAAGAAAGTAAGAAAACACGAATGAACTGAGAAATCACCAAACAGGCATAACATAAAGATCAAAATGTGGGATAAACTTCTCACTTAAAGTAAAGAAAATAAAATGTGATGAAATAGAAATAAAAGCCAGTTCATTAAATTATTATTATTGAGCCATAAAAACCAATACACAACTAAAACCTCCATAAAAAAAAGAGCAATCTTAATAAAAACAGAAAAACAATACCTTTAAAAACAGCTCCGTAAATCCTTCGTAAAATCCACGTAAGAATAAATCCAGAAATAAAAAAAAAGTTCGTTAAAAACGCCGGCTTTCTGAGGGAAAGACCGAGCGTAGTTCACAGAGCCAGAGGTGTGCGCAACTCTCTACAAGGTCGTTGACCCGACCTTTTATACGAACAAGGTCGTGCGTCAAGTTCGTTAGTTTCGGAGTCTGCGCAGCAAGACTCGTTATTCTTAAAAGTGTCGTCTGCTCCTTGAGACGTTATAGCTTTAATCTCAGTTATTGTACGATTGCTCATTTTCAGTTGGTATTTGCAGGGGAGGTATTTAAGAAAAACATATGACATTTTTTATAGAAATAAAAGGAAAATAAAATATATACAAGATTTTAAATATGAAACGAGATAAAATTACGCTGGCTAGCCAACCAGGCTCTGGCGCCAAACAACTATACACCGTTTTCTGTCGCCAGCTTTCAGAAATACGTTGTTTGCAGCGTTACTCCAGGTGTTTCCGGGCTGAAAGCCGGTATAAAGAAACATGTCATCCTCCTCCTCAGTAAAAACTACGGCAAGGTGTCCGCGTTCACTCGTCAGCGTCTTCTGCAGGCAGGTCCTCTGCAGCGTCGCCTTCTGCGCCATCTATAATCGTCCGTCACGGCCAGGCGCCAGGGATAGTCAGGGGGGGGGGACTAGTAAGAAATCGGTTACGAAGCCTGACACAGGGGCGAGAGCGGCAAGTAGGAAGCTGAGACGTCAGCTCACTACATCTCTTGTAAGAAAGTATGAGAGAGAGAGAGAGCGTAAGAGTGAGAGAGTGCGTAAGGGAGTGAGTGAGTGAGAGAGTAGACAGACAGAGAGAGAGAGAGAGAGAGAGAGAGAGAGCAAATGGCCCACTGATTATTTACACAAACTATAAATCAACGCATATTGAACTGTATCTAAAACGTCCAAAAATCGAAGTGAATCAATAAATCAAGTAATCTTCGATTCGTCTCAAAAGAAATCTATGTTGGTGTTGATTTTATATTTCCGGGGACCATCGGCACTGTAGTACATCGGTACTTGGGAACATTAGCATCGGGGTTGTGTGCATCAGTGGATCAGAATGTCTGGACGAAAGTGAATATTTTCACAATAGCATGTGTATGTATTGGCCCACAATAGTTTAGAATATAACGAATAATTCTAATATAATAGATTGTATTACATTTAAGGTCATGTGATATGTAATCTCTAATTACTTCATTTTGGATATTCAAACCTAATATGAGAAATTTATCACGATCAAATCTGTCTCTTCGACATAATTGCAGCGGTAATTAGCGGCTGATTACGCGTTGACCATCCGGAGAGATTTTCCCGCCAAAAGTTTCGTACATTTCTCCCCTCGCGCGAAGGTTTCGAGTAATTTATTCAAAATAAATCTTAACATTATAAAATAATAAAGTCTTAAAACAATGAAGGCAAATGAAAAAAAACAACAACAATATATAACACATACAGAACACAATAATGAAAAAGGAAACATTTTTTTTTAATATAATTTAACGGACGCTCGCTTGAGCCGGCCGTGGGGAGAGTTGCCAAACACCGCTAGACAACAATGCAGCCACTTTCCAAACCCGTTATGCGATTTATAAAAAATAAAATACCTGAAAAATACGAATATAAATTGAATGTTTTACACTTTAGTTCTGAAGGAAATAAAATGATAAAGATATGCAAATAGACATTAAGTTCTAAATATGGGAAATATGACCGATTAATAGGCAGAATATGTTGCGTTACGTCCGCTGTGACGCCAGCACGAGGTGTACGGAAAGCTCCTTCACGGACGGTGTGACACCCGCAGCGAAAGGGTTAACCTAACAATATGTTCCTCAATCGTTCTGCTAAACACAATTACGTCATCTAAACATACTAGTTATGTAGCAAAAATTCTGTCTCCCAGAATCCTCTCCATGTAATGATGAAATGTGCTTGGACTGTTCGATAATCCCATTGGCAATCTTTTAAATTCATAATGGCCGAAAGATGTGCTAAATGCAGTTTTATGCTAATCTTTTGGGTGTACTTGTATTTGGTGATACCCTGCATCTAAATCAAGTGTTGAAAAAAAAATTGCACCAGCTAATGCTTCAACCGTCTCATTAATCCTTGGTAGAGGAAATGCGTCTCTAATTGTATATTTGTTAAGTTGCCTGTAATCTATACATAGCTTTAAAGTGTTATCGCGTTTGCGCACCGCAACAAGAGTAGGGACTTACGCTCGGTGCAATTACCCCTTGTTTGCATAACTTTTCGATGTGTTCTTTTACCTACGGAACCTGATTCGGTGGTGTTCGTCTGTATGGTATTTTAATGGGTTGCTCAGTTGTCAACTGTATGGTATGTTGGACACCCATAGCTTTTCCTATTGGCTCATTTTCATTAGCAAAAACGTCCCTATATTCTTCTAAAAGTCTCATTACACACTCCTTTTGATGCATTGTTAAATAGTCATCAATGATTTTTACTTCAGGCAACTTTTCATTTATCAAATTGACGCTGCAGTGTTGAACTTCCCTCTCTTCTATTTCCTCTGCTCTTGCAACTTTGCCTATCTGCCAATTCCTTCTTAATTTACAAGTAGTTTTAGATAGGTTTGCTACCAGCGTATATCCCTTCCCACTCTTTATAAGGACCATAGCAGGCAGCATTACTATACCCTCTGGAACCCATCCTTCCTGTTCTTCTGTTAATGGCTCAATCAACACCACCTGGCTTTTTACCTGCCTTAATTGCGGGATCCAGACTGGCACCAGTCTCATACTAGATGGCGGAATTACAGTCATTTGTGCTTTCCCGGTTAATGCAAAACCCCAGTCTTCCTTTAAGTGTAATTTACGGAGTGCCCTTATATCGGTGATATAGTCTTTCCACTCTTCCCAGTCAACACTTGCTTTCCATAGATTGTACATTACCGGCTATACCTCTGCCACCTTTGACAGCACATCAATGCCTAGCAAACAACTGTAGCTCTCCCCAACACTGTCACAAACCAAGAATACTGCATCAACCTTTGCCCCACAGATTCCAATAATAGCTTTTATACTACCTGTACATGGTACTACACCACCACCCACTGACCTAATGCTAATTTCAACCG